AACCCTTAGCAAAGTGAATTTTATAATTTCATTGTAGATATCTGTATGTTCTCCATTTCATGGAAGATGGCAATAGTTTGCAGAGTGACAAATAGTATTCTATCAGAATTTACCTTTTGATAAAGAAACGTTTTCTTTACTTGTTAGTCTTACTTATTAGTGTAGATGGCGAAACATGTACGAATTGAATAGCTACATTCCTCTTTATTCAATGACTCATAGCATTGAATAAAATAGTGTTTTTATTCAATGCTCATAGGCAATTTTAATTTGCATTACAATGTTATTGCAAATGGTTAGACCACCAATAATACACATTTTTAGGTATACAGGGCCTTCATTATTGCTAATTTGATAATAATAAGAGATACAAGGTCGGTTAAATTAGAGAACTAGTTAGCGTTGCCAGATTTTTTTGGGCTATAAAGGACACCTTTTTATTTCGGCCATCAAAACGGGATTTCATTTTTTTACCCGAGAAAAACAAAGGTACCTATATTTATATTATACAGGGTGATTCCTATAGTACCTGCCACCGTTTGGGAGCGTATAGGGGGTGCCTAGGGGTGTATTTTGATATAGGACACTTGGGGTCGGAAATCTAAAATAAGGGCGCCAGAACCAAATTTATCTTCTGGAATTTCACGCCTGTATGTAGGCAACCCAACCGAACGACGTTTCGCGCGGAGCGATGCAGAGCGAGTTAGCGCGAGGAAGCGACATGGGAGGGAAGGAGGGAAAACGACAGTCAAAAGCAATAACGTTTACAAGTGTTCAACGTGGCCACCGTTGTTCTCAATGCACTTCCTACATCTAGCCAACTATTATTATACTATTGACATAGTGTTTATTCACTTGATACGCGTCGTTGCAGACGGGATTTCGTGGGTTTAAACAAAATTCTGATCAAGTGTCAGCCACACATCGCCGCCTGAGATCGCTCCGTGTGCACCGCCGCGCCGGCCGGTTGGGTTGCCTACCTACAGGCGCGAAATTCCAGAAGGTAAATTTGGCTCTGGCACCCTTATTTTAGATTTCCGACCCCAAGTGTCCTATATCAAAATACTCCCCTACGCACCACCTACACGCTCCCAAACGGTGGCAGGTACTATAGGAATCACCCTGTATACTTCCAAGAGACTAAAAGTGTGTGTTTAATCCCGGGCGTGCAGTTTCTGGCCCGAAACAAAGTTGAGAGCAACAAGCACCATAATATAATAATATCAAACAAGGTTTAAAATACGGGACAGCTTTGTCCCGGCGCACTGTGATCAAAAATGAAAATTTAGGATTAGAAAAATAAAAATTGCAACCTAGTCCAATTTTTTTTTAAATTTTTTCTCCGTACTAAAAAATAACAACTAAGTATCAATTTAACAATTTGAACATCTTTTGAGCATATTTTGTTGCTAAGCCTAAAGCCGCAATAGTTAGAGGCCCCGCGCTCTGATTTTCTCGTTGCAGCTTGTCAAATTTTAGTGACATTGCAAATAGTCCAGGAGGCAGCGACATTTTTTATGCACTCATTTCTATAAACCTGATATTCTGCCATTTTATTGTTTTGATAGTACAATAAAAGTAAACAAAAGCGGTTGTCTACCGCGTCGGCGGCGTTGCCTAAACTTGCAACAATGTTCTGAACATGTTAATAAATAATAAGTATGTAGGTACATGCCTCATTTCTACAAGAATGAAAGTTTGTACAGTAATTAAGTATATAAATGAACTATGTTAATAGTCTACCGAGCTGGAAGCGTTACTATCACAAGTTTATACCACCCACGCAAGATGCATTATTCAATTGAACTTATTTCTACAAAGATGAAATTTTTGTTTCAAAAAGTTGATGTCATAAGACACTACAAAAATTGGTCTACCGATCGCGTGATGTTACTAAGGTTTCGGTAGACACGCTGGAAGGTACAACTTCCTGCTGCACCGCTTTTCTAAAAGTATCTCTAAATTTATTATTAATATTATTATACACGGGCATAAAATGAAAAGCTGTAAAGCTGTTTTTTTATATACCGTACCGGGTGAATATTTCAAAAACAAACATAGGCTAATTGCCTACATGGGAAAAAGTCTTTTTGCAGATCGTTGCTCCCCATGATAACTTATAGGATTTAGAATGAAGATTCTTTTCTCATCTAATGGTATACGAATCAATTCATTTTCAGTTGTATTTCTTATTACCTATTTTATCAAAAATAACTCCAATTACCAAAATCATGTTAAGCCATGAAAATTTTCTAATATGACACAGACAGAGTGGGACGCTCATTAAAATGGATGGAAAACAAATATCGCGTACGGTAACTCCGCTGTAAACGTCGTTTACTTTTTCCTCAGTGAATAAATTTTACAAAACAAATTATTGACAGTTGTCATAAACTTGTATTCATTTCGAATTGAATAACGAATAACGAATTTTTGATAAAAAAATCCGATACAACTGAATACCGAACGATCCTCTCTTCACGCATCCATTATTTTTATAACGCGCCTTAAGGGGTTGATTCTGCCCCACCAGATCGGAATAGCTTATGTAAAACAAATTGTTTGAAACGGAGTTAGTTTTGCCATGTTTTACTTTTATTCGAGGTGACTAGATACAAAATTTCGCTTAAAAATCTTAACAAGGAAAAAAACAAGTTTGCGGATCCGCAAAACAATTTTTTTGATTAAGAGCAACGATCTGCAGAAAACCTTTTTCCCATGTTAATTGCCTATGTTCGTTTTTGAAATATATGTATTTTATGCTCGTGTATATAATAATTTGGATCAGTGGGTCTCAAACCTATTTCCATGGCGCTCCCTTTCATAAAACTAAAATTACTCACACCCTCCCTCCCCCCCCTCACCCCTAACCCGATTAAAAAATAAAGAGTGCTGTTACTACAAACGTAATTATTAAAAAAATTACTGGGTGAGTCTTTTTTTCATTATGGGGACTCGGAAACCGTATAAGAGATACAAAACCGTTTGGGGCAATTTATGCAAAATTGTATGGTGATTAATTTTCCATTCCAAAAAGTCTTGTAGGTTTACAAATAGCGAAGTTATCGCCAAACAACCATTTATTTTCAAAGATATCAACAAATATTTTTAACAAAAGCTTGGTAAATTTTCCTCAACTGTTTGGCGGTGCGAAAAAAGTTGTTATGGCCCATAAAATATTATATTTTTCAATCCAGTTGCCGCCCCCACTAAAGTGGCGCCCGGGACGGATCGCCCTCCCGCCCCCCTTCGCTACGCCGCTGCTAACCCTTCTTATTGGCGTAAAAATTGGTCAAATACAATTGTACATAAAATATTTTAAAGGTAAATATTTGCCTCAAACACATCAGGGATCTCGCGGCCCCCTTAACAACACTGGTTTAGAGGTACTTTTAGCAGAGCAGTGCAGCAGCTGCGCTCGGGAAATCGTATCTTCCAGCGTGTCTACCGCGACCTTAGCAACATCACGCGGTCGGAAGAACAATTTTTTTGGTGTCTTATGACATCAACTTTTTGAAACAAAAATTTCATTTTTCTCCAACCACCTGAATAAGACGCTATTTTGTGACAGTATTCGTTACGTAAAATTGACGTTTTGCGGATTAATCGCTTTCACCATGGCAACTGTACAAAAAGTGGATACTTTTGGTCCTAGTACCAAAAAGAAATTGACCTTGAAAGTTGGCCAATTAAAAAATTACAATCACGGAGATATGTCACATTGACATCGTTTTACATTTGCAGGTTGTAAGATATTTCTATAAATACAAATCAAATATTTTTGCATATTCAATGCAAATAATGATGTTACATATACGTATGTACATGTATTGAAAATGATTTACGCTCGCTATTTTTATTTAAACAATGTGTAACGTAATTTACATATTCGATGAACGTAATTTTAATACGTATACAACCCGCCGTCGCGCGTAACGCCATCTACTTCACACCCATTGCACTATTATCTGTCATTTTGAATTCAAAATTTGAAAAAGTTAATTGCAATTAATTTTAATTAAAAAACTATATGGTAAGTTTTTTATTTCAATACAAAATATAACAATATTAATTGTGTATACAATAGAAATGACTGAAACTGATAGCGACATGGATTGCACTCCGCCAGAGATTTTAGAAACGGCAGAACATGCTACCTTAAGATTTGCTCCCTCCAAAGTCACGAGAGGTGAGAAGTAAGAAGTAAGAACGAATAAGTTATAAGTTAACCTAAAAACTAGAGTGGCATGACACGCGAGGACAAGAAAGCAGAAGTTCTTGTACTAGTAGTGAAACTGTGATTGAATCTTAATTGGAATATAATTTGAAGTAAAGGGGGTTGGAGAAAAAATTTTATGTTTTATTCGTACAAAAAATGCGTTTTCGGGACTCGGAAGGTTGCTGGACTCCGCTAACGCGTCGTCCAGCAACTATCTTCCTCGTCCCGAAAACTGACATTTTTTGTACTAATGAAACAAATAACTATTTTGTAGAAATAAGTTTATGTACATATTATTTATTAACATGTTCAGAACATTGTTGCAAATTTAGGCAACACCGCCGACGCAGTAGACTACCGTTTTGTTTACTTGTACTATTAAACAATAAAATGGCAGAATATCAGCTTTATAGAAATGAGCGCATAAAAAATGTCGCTGCCTTCCTGGACTAAAAAGGGTTTTTGCAGTTCTAAGAAATAAGGACGTATGGTTTCAAGATGATTCGTATTCCCAGAGATATGTAGGTATTATTATAATATAAAATTTTTTAAAAAAATATGAAGGTGTTTTATTACTTATAAATTATATAATCTAAAGTTTATCGTGAGAATACTTTTTTTACGTTCATAATGTCGACATGGATCTGACAAAAAGACGTAAGCGCCAAAAATTCAAAATTGAGATTATGTTTCTTAGACATTAATTTGCAATTGCCGCGTGATATTGTATAGTCAGTGTAAGCGACATTCTATTAGAATATGTATTTATTTGACTTTAAAGTTTTCGTAAGCGCCATTGGGTTGTTGCGCAAGTTCAAAGCTAGTCATTTGCACGACGCGTAACCGGCAGTGTCAACGTGTATTGTGAACGTAGTTTTTTAATGGAAAAAGTAGTTTTGAGGTAAGTTATAACTGTGTAGTTAATATTTAAGGTATTTTGCTAACATTTAATAAATAATAGTAAGAATACAATTGTAAAACAAACACCATAGAGGTTAAAATTTGGTAGTGTCGCTTACGCCTTTTTAGTATGACTATTCATAAAAGGCGTAAACGCCAGTGCTTATGGCTACCTTAACGTAAAAATAAAACATTTTTATTTCCGTATGTATATTAATAATTTTCCATAAGTAGTACATTTATTTAAAGCACATCTGCCACAGGTCTCAAAATAATAAACCCTATATGCATAATAATCTTTTTTAATTGACGTATTTAGTGTTAAAGTTTCTGTTAAAAATAGTCGCTTACGCATAGTCTAATTTTCAGATCATAAAATGAGTGCCAGGACCAACAAAATACTGCAACTATGCACTGAAGCTTCAAGAAAACCTTTATTACAAGCTCTCGAACATGACTTTATTTTTGTAGATGACTTGATACCTGAAAATTTGACTAGCGATGTGTTACTTAGCGAAGTAGCAGATACTATTCCTCAAGTCTCTGAACATGATCTAGTGGGTATGAATCCACAAGAAGAACATTATACCTATACCGACCAAAGTCTTCAAGTTTTAGAAATCGGTGTTGTAACGGACACTCATAATGATAAATTATCTACCGTTAACCCAAATGATACAAATTCTTCGCCTTCTGCTGCTGCGATTCATAATCAAAAATTATGTTCCCCCTCTGCTGCCCCAAGCACAAATGTATCATCTTCATCCAGTGCGTTTGAAACATCAATAGAAACAGGAAAAAGGGGAAAGAGAAGAAGGAAGGTGTTATCTGAAAAGACCCAAAATAAAAAAAATAGAAACAAAGGTGCCCCATACACCAATTATAAAGGAGTAACAAAGGATGCTAGACAAGTAAAATGTAATCCATGCAAAGTCCGTAAAGATCGGTGCAGGAACAAGTGCAATGAGTTTTCCGAAGTAGAACGTCAAGAAATTTTTGACAATTTTTGGATGATTGGCGATCACGATAAACAATTGTCGTTTATAAATGGATGCGTAGGAATAAAATCTGTGAAACGCAAAAGAACCAAAAAAGAAAATTCTCGGCGTAATTCGACATTTGAACATTTTTTAACTAAACGTGACGGTATCCAGTATAAAGTCTGCCAACATTTCTTTATAAATACTCTAGACATAACACAAAGAGTTATAAGAACGGCAGTAAAAGGAAAAGTAGCGGACTTCAGCGACCAACGGGGAAAGCACGAACCCAAACATAAAATCACTAACACGCAAAGAAATAATTTAAGAAAGTTTATTAATTCATTACCAGCAGTACCCTCTCATTATTGTAGAGGTTCTACGACAAAACTTTATTTACCTGCCGATATTAGATCCTTTACCAACTTGTACAATTTGTATTCTAGTCACGTACGGAAAGAAGAAGCTGAGCCTGTAGCATACACTACTTTCAAGAGAACTATACACAAGGAATATAATATTGGCATTCACGTTCCCAGGAAAGACAAGTGTGTGAAATGCCTAAAATATTCTCAGCTTTCCGAAGCGCAAAAAACAGAAAAACTTAAACAAGGGTATGATCAGCACATTAAAGAGAAAGACGAAGCAAAAGAATTTTTCTTAAGTGAACAACAGAAATCGAACAGTAACAAGTACATAGTCGCTACTTTTGATCTACAGAAGGTACTTTCTACACCACATGGTCCCGGAATGGTGATTGGTTTCTCAAGAAAGTATGCCTACTACAATTTCACAATTTACGAAAGTGGTACCAGAACTGGGTACTGTTTTGTATGGGGTGAAAGAGATGGTCAGCGTGGATCCAATGAAATATGTACACACCTTTACTGGTATCTTACACAAGTGGATAAATCAGGTTTATATGAACACGTAAGTTTATTTTGTGACAGTTGTTCCGGGCAGAACAAGAATAAGTTTGTTTTCACTACAATTTCATATTTTTTGAGCGAAGCTCAAAACGTTAAAACAGTTTTGTTGACCTTCCTCGTACCAGGTCATACTTACATGCCTGTTGATAGCATGCACGCTACTATTGAAAAACATATACGAAAAATGAATGTCCAGGCACCTTCTGAATGGCCTACAATTTTGAGAAATTGTAGAAAGAAACCTTCACCATATATTGTTCGCTCTGTTTCATATTCCGAATTTTTAAACTGGAAAGAAATTTCAAATTGCAAAAAATTGAAAGCTACAACAGGTGAACAAATAAAATTTGCTGAAATAAAATCGGCTGAATTTGACAGTCAACCTAGCGTTGTAAAATTACGGTTAGGTTACCGCATAGATGATCCAGTTTACAATGTAAAACTAAGTGTTAAAAAAGTGATCCCTTCTCAATTATATCACGAAGAGCTTCCTATTAATGATGAAAAGCTGAAAAACTTAACCAATTTGTGTAAAACCGGTGTTATCAGCAGTCAATATCATTTTGAATATTTGGCCTTAAAATCATCTGTCTCCGTTGAAGATACTCTTCCAGAAACGGATGTAGAAGATGAATTTTAAGCCATAACTCTAAAAAAACTATTTTTATACCTTCTATTTTTGTCGTTGTTGAATGTTCATGTCAGTTTATAGAGAGATATATTTTTTTTCAATAAATTTTACTGTTTTTTTGAAATCAGTTTTTCCGATATTAATTTGTTCTATTGAGTTTAGAAATGCGTATCCGACAGTAATAAAAAATTTTCATAAGTTTATAAAAGACGCAATTGCCGCTTAAGCGCCATAATTGTTTTGTTAGTAAGATATCAAAAACGCGTAAGTGCTGTCAAATAGAGACGTAAACGCCACTCATCAGATACAAAAGACTTAAGCGACATTTTTTTTAAATTACAAGAAAATTTAGCAATTGTCATAGAAAGTAATTCTTTAGTATTGAACAAGAACGTGTTTCAAGTAGCTAGGATCAAGACAGTGACTTAATTCAAATTCTATAAACAACAAATCAGTTTTTTCATCACTGCACAAATTGTGTACAACACCGCTTACGTCTTTTTGTCAGATCCACGTCGATGTACCAATAACGTGCGCGCGAACTAAAGAAAATCCTACTACACGGATAGACAGACGTACGGGTATTGAATGATTGAATATTGAAGATATAAGTATCAAAATTTGATAAAACGTACGATTGCGACAAATCGAATAATAAAGTTGGTGGAAAAAGAAAGCGTTTCCAAATCAGAAAAACCAATAATCTGTATGTTAGAAAAGTTGGAAAATTGGTATACATTAACATCCTGCATTTATTCTTCCAAAAACTCGGAATCGGTGCCCTACTCCGCATTTTACGACACCCAGTGCACTGTCCGGTTGCGGATTATTCTTTGCCAATGTGTTTCCAGTCAGGATATGAAAGAAGGCAAACGAAAGAGGATGTATTAGAGCACCTTGATTAATTATATTGCTTAGTTTCTTCTTAATAACGTCACCAGATACGAATAAATTTAAATATCGTTAAAGTTTGAGACGATTAGAATTTTTTACAAGTTTAATGTCCCTAGAGGAGGTGGGCACTTCATCCTGTGCCTATAAAAGGAGGATATGCTCAAAGACGCCACCTAAAGGTTTTCCAATTAAGTACTTTATAATTAAAATCTAATTTCCGAGCAATTGGATTTCAGATGCTCTTTATCGTATTTCTAATTATAGCAAGGCATTGGAGTTGTCTGATATCGATGGCTGCTTCACCCTTGTATTAGCGGACTAGTGGCTGTTAGTGTAATAACCTTCCTTAATAGATATTGATTGTATCGTAAAATGTAGCACTAAAGTCGGATAGTTGTAAGTGCGTTATACAATTTAAGCTTTCAGATGTTGTAAACTTCTTATCGATTAATCGCCTTATGGCCATTCATTAAAGTGACTTCGTACCTTTAAACCTATAATGATAAGTAAAACGTAGGAAAGATCCCATGAGAGTAGTCTGACGGCACTTTTCTCGAAAGAAAGGAAATGCGACGTATATTCAGGAGTTTGCGGGATCGCGACCCCAGGGTACTAGCATGAAACTTTTTCACAAGTTGCATTTGAAATTACTTATGGTTCAAGGAACTGCAATCTCTTGGGATACAGAATACTGTTTCCAAGATAACTATAAAGTTATAAACAACAGTGTAAATATACGGTGGAGTGTATACGCTTTGAAAACAGCAGTAAAGAATTGCTTTATTGCAAGGCACTGTAAAGCTCATCTTATGTCACATGTGTAGCCACAACTTAAAGCTTTTTTAAACGTCGGGTCAGTACCCAACAGTTAAGTTGAATTTGCATTTACTACGGATTTATTACAATCGTAATGTAAATACAGAACGTATACATTTGGACTTTTATGAATCCTAATTTATGTACACCCAGTATAATTAACAGTGTGGTCTATTGCAGCAGAAAAACACAAACATGTATTTGTAATACTTGCGGCATTAGCTGGGGTTAAATGCAAATTAGTTTCGTAAATAATTCATATTCTCTATAGAATAATGTATAATATTGCTAATTTGGGCTTTATTGTGCGTACATCGATATATGAGCCAAAAGTACCAACGATATGCGTTTTATCGTATTTCCATAAGTAAAAACCTTCAAGTGAAAAGCGATCTTTTGGGCCTACAGGTCGGTGCACACGGCAGTGTATATTTATGTATTGTTCAAATTTCCACACATCGTTCCATCGAGATCTCGGCCCCTGGGCCACCTAGAGACTTCGGGTTTTCGCTAATTGATAGCTGTTATGGTCTATATTTGCCCATTTCGATCAGTTTCATTTAACTCCACATTTTGCGCAGACTGCGCAATGCCAACTTTCATATTTATGGAGATATTTCTTTGAAATTTTAACCACAGATGCTTCTAGTAAAGGCAAACATTTCGCACATGGTAAAAATTATGTGGACATGCGCAGCGACTGCGCAATGCTAACTTTCTTATTTATGGAGATATTTCTTTGAAATTTTAACCACAGATGCTTCTAGTAAAGGCAAACATTTTGCACATAGTAAAAATTATGTGGGCATGCGCAGTGACTGCGCAATGCCAACATTCTTATTTATGGAGATATTTCTTTGAAATTTTAACCACAGATGCTTCTAGTAAAGGCAAACATTTTGCACATAGTAAAAATTATGTGGGCATGCGCAGTGACTGGGCAATGCCAACATTGTTATTTATGGAGATATTTCTTTGAAATTTCAACCATAGATACTTCTAGTAAAGGCAAACATTTCGCACATAGTAAAAATTATGTGGGCATGCGCAGTGACTGCGCAATGCCAACATTCTTATTTATGGAGATATTTCTTTGAAATTTTAACCACAGATGCTTCTAGTAAAGGCAAACATTTTGCACATAGTAAAAATTATGTGGGCATGCGCAGTGACTGGGCAATGCCAACATTGTTATTTATGGAGATATTTCTTTGAAATTTCAACCATAGATACTTCTAGTAAAGGCAAACATTTCGCACATAGTAAAAATTATGTGGGCATGCGCAGTGACTGCGCAATGCCAACATTCTTATTTATGGAGATATTTCTTTCAAATTTTAACCACAGATGCTTCTAGTAAAGGCAATCATTTCGCACATGGTAAAAATTATGTGGACATGCGCAGTGACTGCACAGACTGGTCATAGCCAACTTTCTTATGTTTGGTAGGTTCTTTGAAACTTTATTTTACTTATTTAACCCCTCTCTTTGTCTGGACGTGGACGTACTTCAATATGCAGATTCGACATTTTGTGTGCTTTCGATGACGATGCATCGTTTCAATACTTTGTGTTACGCGGCAATACCCACGAGTGGGTTTTGGAACATTTTTTATTATATTGTAATGACGTATCGCCTGATGATGGACGAAGCTCGTCCGAAATGGTTCGCGACCCTTAATAAAAATTAGTGAAATACAACTACGTACGATTCAGTAATGAGACTGTTTCTAAATATCTGTTATTTGAATATAATTACAATTAATTACTGTCTCTTGATTCTAAAATGACATTCATCAGGTGGTTGTTTACGGCTTTTTGAATGGATTTCAATATCCCAAAATCTCTTGATATGGCAGGAAATTATTTACTCAGACAAAAATTCTCTTTTTTTTGTTTCCAATTCCACGTAACGAGTTTCATTTTCAATCGATGCATTTTGTTCTTCTGAAAGTTTTTTAGAACCATTTTCGCACAGATTTTTTTTCATTCCTAATCCATTATAGTTTCATGAATGGGTTGTTTGAATCAAATTAAACTGTTTGCAGTCAATCTGACTGGCAATCGACGATTTGGCCGAATAAGATCACTCATTTTTGGAGCGAGGTACAAAAAGTTACTTTACAAGAAACATTAAGTACGGACATACCTCGTAAACCAAATGGCCACTCCAAATTTTTATTACATTAGACCGATTTTACACTGGAGTGAAGTAAGGCCGATCCGGGCGAATTTTGACTTTGAGATATGCGTATGCGCCATGTTCAAGGTCATTCGATTGAATTCTGTTTGTCGACCGAAACAAGTCTGTTTATAAGAAACAGGGTGCTCCATAAATGTGGTATGAAACATTGTTTTAAGAACACTACATTTTATTACAATAATAGATTGTTCTAAAAATTTGCCATAGTTTTTGTTCAGCATCGTTATACAAAAATTTACCTGTTTTTTTAAAAATTTAATCTTTTTTCAAAAAATCACTGTACGTGCCAACAAAAACATATTTCATTAATTTAAAATCCTATAAGGTAAATTTTTTGAAGTTGTTCAGTGCACATTTACACTTACGTTAGGATCAATCGAAAATTAGACAATATTCTACAGGGTGTGCAAAATACTGTACGCAAAACCAGAAACTCATTTTTAACAAATGGGAAACACTTTCTTTTTTATCGTACATTGTTCACTGTAGTATATTCGCTGTAGCTTTGCCGGTTTGTAATTAGGAATTCCCACTGTATGGTTCAAATCTCATCTTCAATGGTTAATAGCCTTGTTTACTTGTTAATTGCTCGGGGCGTTCAAAAATGCCCAATGATATACATAAGTTAGAAAAAGGCAAGAACGTGTCTTAAAAATTAAGCGCTAACGGCAATTTCATTCGATAAAGTAGTCGGGTGATATCCAGAATCCTGTACGAATATGTAGGTATCTAATTTGTAAAATTCACTGATAATAAACTCCACGAATGTTTACAAGTGACAAGGTCACTTGTCGGCTCCCCCTTTTCTTCACTTCACCCTTTTCCTACTTTTTAAAATACACAATGCAATTATACATTGTCGCTAATAAAGATGGAACCAAAGCTCTCACGCTCAAACCGTTTGAGACATGAAACTTAGAAATCTTCCATTTGAAATTAATTTACATAACATACGAAGTGTGTAAATTAATGAATGAGGCTGATTTCGTTCACTGAAGCCACACAGAGCTGGGCACGTTTCTTCTACTGTTCATAGCAGTTGTGGAACGTGGATACCTAAGGGAATAATACCAATGAGCTGGTCGGTTATAGCCTTTTGAATGTTGTTCAGTGTTCCAAAACGATGCCCCTTGAAGTGATTTTTTAACATTGGGAAGAGGAAAAAGTCACAAGGACTCAAGTCGGGTGAATAAAGAGACTGAGGCATAACAGGGGTTACTGGATAAGAAACGGGTTACTGAGATTGCTGTGTGACAAGGCGCATTGTCATGAATTATGGTATACAACATCCAGCTCACACGCATAACGCTTTAATGAACATCTCCGTAAAAGTATTGGTTAAGGGTTTGGTCTTGAGGCACAATCCCTTTGCGCACGATGCCTTGTCTATCGAAAAAGTGAATCAGCATGCTTTTGGTCTAGGACTTGCTCATTCAGCTCATTCTTGCTTTTTTTGGCCTTGGAGATGTTACCGTGTGCCGTTCCATGCTCTAGCCGCCTGCGCTTGCTTCCCGAGTTACTCAAATACCAAAGTCACGTCATTTGTGACCACATGTTCCAGGAAATGTTTTTCAATCGATTCCAAAAAGTTAACGTACGTTATCATTCCAATGTCCTTTTGGTCCCGAGGAAGGCGTTTCGGAACCATTTTGGCGCACACTTTTCCTATCTCCAATTCATTGGTTAACAGCTGATGAAAGGCTGGTGTGACTCAAGTTCAACTCGTGCCCACATTCTGACTGTCAAAAGCGACGATCCAAACGCACCAGGTCCCGGACTCTGACAATATTTTCAGCTTGCAACTGCAGACCATCGGCTGCGAGGTTTATCTTCAATAGTTCAATCCACTTTGCTCCTTCTGAGAATGCCTTCAAAGAACGAAAAACCTGAGCCTTTGACAAAATACTGTTTCCCGTAGGCTTGCTGTAGCTTTTCAAATGTTTTAGTTGTATTTGTTTGAGACAAAACCTGATAGCATCCAGCTGCTCTAAATTGTTCAGAACACACAAGAAAAACCTGTATCGCGAAACAAAGCACTACGGACAGTCAAAGCACCTCAGCGACTTCTAACTCATATTGACAGCACATATGAGTTGTTCAACTAACTCCCCTTCCACGTCCCGTCTCTCCAGTGTTTCCCGATCGTTAATATGGTTAATTTATTTACACACCTCGTATTTTGATGTTAAATTTTTTTATACAAGGGTTTTGAATGCGACCGCCATCTTGAATTTTTTTAAATGGCAACATAATAATTAGAAAGCTTATTTTTTCTCTTTCTTACTACCTTAATCATGTATGGTGTAAATTTAGAGAATAATGCAGGAAAATTAGACAAACCTGGTCATACGATATAAGATTCCATTATTTTAAAATTGTTAAATAAAATAATTTTCGTACGATGTCTAGTCGACACGGGGCGTCTACGCAGTTACCTACCTACTCTGCCTAGGGCCTATTTTATATTCAAAGCTAATGGTTAATTCGGCACTGGCTCTGGTCCAGTTCATTCAAATGATTACACGGCAAAGGATTTTAAATCAAGCATCAATTTTATTTGTATCAAAATAAATTTATAAAAACTTTGCAGTCTCTAAACTTAGAATATTTGCAAAATAATTGTCGAGGACTAATTAAAATAAAAGCATACAATTCCTAAAATGCGATGGCCATTAACATATAAAATAATGCGAATATCCAGGCGTAAATGCCATGCAGTGGTGTTACAAACATGTGTGGGTACTTAGACAAATTAATAAAAATTCAATTATACATACATTCACTTATATTACACGAGGGGTGTGTTTACGATTATGGCTCAGCTTTATAGGATATTTTGTGTGAGAAAGATGGAATTTAAAAACATTTCAGGATTATGATACTGAGACTACCAATCTCATTGTCCTTACATTTGTTTTACAAATGCAAATATAATTGAACACAACCACATCACGATTAAATTAACCATAACCATGCATTTCAATCGAAATGTTGTTTAATTTAGTAAATCCGGGCTTGTTTTTCCGCCAGAAACCTTTGAATGATTGGTTTATCTAGTTTTTTTATAGAGTAGATACGTACAATAAAATTCAGAAGCAATGTCATACTTTATAAGTTGTAATACCACTTAATATATCTGAGTACTGAGGGATCGATAGCGTTAGAAACTGTTATAGTTTTTCAGGGCTAAAGCAGGCACAGCAGCAACAGCAGAGTGCTATGACTAAAAATACAGCTAAAAATATCCAATGAAGTGTCACCAATGCGAAAGCCATTAAGTAAGTAGTCTCGTCGCAATATAGTCCTCCGTGTGGGTTGAAATTGGGTTTGAATATGCTGTAGATCCACACGGATCCTAAAACATAAAAAACATCAGTTGGTGTTTGCTATACAAAGCGTGAATATTCTGAAGAAAAGTAAAAAAGAAGTTTTCATTTTGCTATTATACAATGTGTTCAAAGTGAAAGCGGCACTATTGAGAAGACATGTTATCAAGAAAAGTAACATTTTTTTAACATTGGATATGTTTATGTTTTCGTATATGGGTACAAAGTTATGAGTTTCGTTCAAGGCCAAAAGACGACAAGTGACGATTGTATCGTACTCGACAGTGATCGGTAGGTTAAGGAATTGTCGCGGATACTGTCGATACGGTGCTTACTTAACAGTGCTCAATTATTTTGTTAACTCCAATCTATAATTCTGGCACACCTTATTTGATAGTACTGCGAGCCTGTTACGACTTTTATTATTCAGAAGAATAAGAGTTATTTGTGATTTGCATATGGCGTTATACGGTTATCATTTCCAATGTCTTCGAAGGTTGCATGGATTGCAAAATATGTGAACGCCTGTATATCTTGACATATTTTGAAAGAATAATACATTAATTTCTACAAATAGATTAAGGTACGCCTATACATAAGAACCTTCTTTGGTCCATCCATGTCTTATACTTGTTACTTTAAATCATATAGTCAAAGTATACTAAGTTACCGTAAAATATTACCTTCGATAATACGTTTTTTAAACACATTATATAACGAAATTCAGACTCACCTAATATAACCCAAATAAAATCAATTAAGTATGTAACTGATACCAGCACATCAATTATGCGCCAGTGAAGTTTTCGGTTAATTATTGGTAACAATTTAGATACAATACCAATCACACCTAAAATGAAAATGAACTAGATTTTTTAAATGTAAATGAAACACTTACCAGCTACTATCATGTATAATGGTATTTTGGGTTGTATTGGACAGTCGTGTATTTTTATGATACCCATACTCAACATGATACCATTTAGTACCAGAAACAGTGCTAGCCAAATGACACATATCGCTAGAAACAAAAAAACAACATATTTTTTACAACATGGAAGCACTATATCGAATCTTAAACCAAAAAATAAAGCTTTATAAAAGTATTTAGTTGTGAGATCGGTTGATTTGAGGCTTAACCATAAATGGTCAACGGCCTTAAATGATAAATAAATACAACCAAGTTCATACAAGGTGTTAATTAAAGTCATGCAGATATTTCAGGGGGTGATATTTTTCGTATATTTTGCGTTTCCTCTCTTATGTCCTGTGATAATTGTTTCAATTTTATACATCAATTATTTTTTAGAATAAAATAAAGTATGGGTGTTTATATTATGTCTTGAATCGGCTACAATTTTATGAAAAAATAAAACCCCCATCTTTTTCAATAATCTGTGATGCCATGGAATTTTATATCCAATTATCAATTAGCAGCCGTTCGAAATGAATTTTATGATCGACTTGGTTACTGTCTTGCATTTAATGGGGACTTATTCGAACATTTATTGTAAATTGTTATATTAGGAAACCGTGTTTGGTAATTTGGTCTTTCTTTATGTTGAATTCGCTGTTCTAAATATAATACTTTTTGATAGAATTTGATTTGTTTTATAGCAGACATTCCATGGCATGACGGATATTGGCGTAGCTTCTCTATTATAAAATTCCATGGCATCACAGATTATTGAAAAGATGGGGGTTTTATTTTTCCAATTTTCCGTCTTTATTATGCAAAAAATTGAAAACTAATACGGTTTATTGACGTAAAAAATTTGTTTCTACAAAAAACCTTAATACATTTTTGCTCTAAAATAATTTGGGGAGCCAATAATCGCATGTTATGAATTTTACATTGAAATCCCTATGATGCGTTACGCAAGTCACCACCCTGTATACCGGCAGTTCATAAAATTCTGAAACAGAGTTATTCTCCAAACAAGTTTTATGGGAATTGGGCGACGAATGTTCAGTGTGTAATGAATGGATTTGAATGATTTATTTTTTGGGTTTATAATGCCATAAACTAAAAAGTTCACTCATTGAAAATTAGAAAACTTTGAAAATTTGTAAATTAAAAAAAAAATTAATTTTTTTTAGTAATATCAATAAAAAATACAATTACCAAAATCTTAAACATTTCTTTCAAGAAAATAATGATTGTTATAGTTTTCGACGTTTTTTTATGAAAAACGAACCATTTTAAAATTATTTTGAAAACTGCAAAAAAAGGCGAAGTAAATGAAAGTAACTTTAAATATATACAAATACATCAATCATTTATAGAAAATAATTTATTAATAACTAGTAAGTAGCAGCATCTTGTGAATCTGTGTGATTTTCAAATAGGTAATTTAGCAAATTTAGTTTTCTTTTGTAAAACGCTGAAGTGGTATCACATCCAGGTAATGCATTTAAAAACAAAAATATGCTGTTCACACATTGGTAGGTAGTGTTTGTTCAAGGCTTTTATTAGAATAAATTTCTGAGAAAACATTTTTATTTTATGCAACGTAAATGCGCTTAGAAGCTCGGTCGTAATACTTGAGGGAATAAATGAGTATAGCTGAGAATATAGAATATACTATACTAGAACTTTCGCGTCATTTTGGTGGGAGTATCCTTAAAAAAATTTGCTTTGGCTTTCACAGATACCACCCGCATGTCTCATGTGCGATTTTGCCCTTTTATGTCTAAGAGTATGTGTACTAAATTTGCTTCCTATCGGTTCAGCCGTTTAACCGGAAATGAGGGATACAGACAGACAGACTGATCGACATGATCGAGATTTTCTCAGATTCGGATTCCTGGTGCTTCAAAACCTGTATTTCCGTCAAAAAGGTCTTTCTCCAATGCGTTACCTTCCTTACTAACGTGCGGGCGGTAAAAAGCAAAAGATTTCAAAGGATAAACTTTGTACTTTATAGTATAAAGAATTCAAAAAATCCGAAAACATTCAATTCCATTTATTTCGAGGTATAAACCTCTTCGAAGAAGATTGCGCCCAGTTTCCGCAGAAAATCAATGTTTGGGTAGGTTTTCTTGGGAATCAAATTGATGGGCCGATATCCCTAGAAGGAAATTGAAGTGCATATAAAATTACAAATTTCAATCCGTTCATTTTGAAATAAAAGCTCTAGGTAGATATATATTAAGACCTCCAGACAACAACTGGAACCGATTTTGTAAAAATTTTATCAAAAGGTATGGACACTTGTGCACTCAAATTTAACGTACAGATTACTGTACTATTTATATCCACCTATATCCGTAAACTCTTAGCCTAAACTAAAGCAATTGATTTGTTTATAAACAAACGCTAAACAAACATTACTTACAGTGATTTGATGTCTCCCTCAAACGTAAATAATTGTCCTTTTCCATTTGCATCATGCACACTGACTATACTTGCTACTTCTTTCGTGTCTAAAAAGGTCTGCGGTATTCTGCATTGCAACACTTAACAGTCGGACACTGAAGGTAAATCCCCTATTTTTTTTAGGAAACGCGTCACTTCTATTTTCGTAATTGATGTATGAGTGTACAGTGAGTGTACTTCTTATCTTTATATTGTGATATTTTAATTAGCCGAATTGGGACTTGTGGACGATTATATACTCGAAAATCTTATGCGCAGAAAACCATCGTCGATATTTTCATTGCAATCGAGAAGGACGGTGGTTTATTGTGGATTATAATTAGATCAACTTCAACAAACCAAAAATAAACGTAATAAATTGCGATTGAAAGAACGTTTATTGCAGTGTACAACGTTTCTATCTCTTTTTTGCTTAAAGCTCAAGCAGATGGGTAATATTAAGAAAACCGTGCCGGTCATAAAATTCTTTTCCCAGAATGATAAATTGGTATATGATATTCGGAGTGGATCTGGTCTGTGTGATAAATAAATGATAAGGTACCCAAACCATTTCCTCATGACTCAAAGGAGCATAATACAAAAAAATAAAAAACAGTTTTGGTGTAGGTAGCTAGCCACTTAATGATTGAAGCTCTATGCTACCTACTACATTGCGTATGGTGGTGGTACTTTTTGCTCAATTTCTTATTCTTCTAAGTGGAACCTTTTGGTACGAGTGAATATAGTCGACTGCGCGTTGCATATTGTCCGGTACACAACTAGGTACACAGAGTGTATCCATTCAAAACTGGTAAAAGAGCTACTTAGGTACCTGATAGGCGAAGTATCAAAACAAGGTTGTTCTCAGAATTAGTTTTGTATGGCAAGTCTGTTGAGTGAAAACCCGAAGTCTTTAGGGAGCCCGGGTGCCGAGATCTCGATGGAACAGTCAAATCGAGCACATAACTCATAAGCGTTACCTCAACTTCGTTGTGTTACGCTAAAAACTTATATCTCTGTAATGAGTGTTAATGCTGAGGTTCTAGCAGAAGAAATTGCAAAAATACAAATACAGGTTCACATTTGAGCAATTGTTTCAAACGTGTTGACGAGACGTTTGAGTAAATATATCTCAGAAAGGAAGATATCTCCGATTTGCAATTAGACACATACCAACATAACTGATGAGGATTTTACCCATCCTAATTGCAATGTTAGCGAAATGAAATCGGAATTTAAAATGAGCCATAAAATAGGTTTGAACCACGGGTTGAACCATGTGCATACAGTATTCATTCCTGGATTTCATTTTTTAGGAACATGATACATCGATTTAAAGAAAATTTAATTTGTAAACGATCACTATGGTAAATGGTTATGATTCCAAAAAAATTACTAACTGTAAATTTTCAAACTGCATTCTACCTTTGAGTGAGAAATAGTAAAGAGGAGCACCAACGATTATAATGGAAAATTGAAATACATGCTGAGGTTCTTACTCGCCGAAGCTTCCCGCTCTCCACCGTCCACAGTGGGGGGGGGGGGGGGTGAGTGTGATAGACGTGCGACTGAAGTGTAAACGTCACTCAACAATCCGAACGTTACTGTAACAACGGAATTTAGGTCCCACAAGCCAGCAGAGCCATTTTAGAAAAATGGACGAAATACATCAGAATTATGGGCTGATTACAGGCCTTTTTTAGACACTTGAACAAATTTTCAGACGGCATCCTTTAAAGAAAAAAACTATGGCTTTGCTGGCTGAAGACGAAGCTAGCTGACCACTTGTGAGATTTGCTTCGAAAATGAAAAATTCAGATCACAAGATTATAGGCTATTTATAGACCTACTTTAGATAAGTAGATACCTAGTACTCTCACCTGCAACAAAAAAAACTAAGTGTCTGCTTGCTTCAAATTGACAGCTACCTAGGAATTTAAGTCTACGGTGAATAATTCTCAAACCTATAGGCTTATTATAGACCCTTCAAACGTAGCAATCTTTTTAATCCTAACAAACATTGTTCCATCAATGAGATCAGTTTGATTTTGCCCCTCTCGGAGATATAGTGGATAAATAAAAATTATTTATTTATTGCCTATTTATTGTCCCTCTCTTGTTCTGGGCCCTCAACGGGCTTTCGCCCATTGATATATTTATATTTATTTAAACTCTAACTTATATTTCAAAAATCCGATACAACTGAATACCAAACGATCTTCGAGATCTTCACACATACATCATTTTTACAATACACCCCAAGGGGTTGATTCTGTCCCACCTGATCACAAATTTTTTGAAATGGCATTAGGTTTACTTTTATTTGAGGTGCCTGCTAACAACATTTCATTTAAATACCTTAACAAATAAAAGAAAACCGGACATACAACAAGGGGTGTTGGATTTTCTCCATTCCAATTCCGGCAATTTTGTTTGTTGACTTACCCTTTCAACCAAAAACTGGGCCTCATGGCTGGTGAAATTGGGGATCAAGAGCAATCTTGTTTTCGGCCCATTCATCGAATTTTGAAACAATTGTTCCCGGTGTCACGAGACGTAGATACGCGTGCCGTGAGGGCGGGGGAGTCGATTAGGACCGTGGCAAGCAGAACTTTTTAACTTGGCGGGAATTTTAAAACATGTGTGCGCGGGTCTTTCGAAATTCGTCACGTTGGGGCCCGCGAGGGGGCTGAGCAGCTCTGATCTATACAATCAATGCTACAATACACAAAGTAGTGAGATTGTCATAATCCTATATTTGGTTTGGCGTACAAGATAAATGGAGTTCTGAGTCGCAATCCGAAGATATGGAAACATGTTTTTTATCTCTTCTGCAGTTCACCCAAAGTTCAATCAAATTATTAGACAGCGAAGCATTTTAAATCACGTATCAATTTTATTTGTATCAAATAGGATTATAAAAACATTGCAGTCCCTAAACTTGGTATAACTCGTGTATAAATGTCGAGAGCTAATTAAGATAAAAGCATAGATACAATTCCTAAAACGATTTAATTAACCATGCATTTCAATAATGAAATGTTGTGTAATTTAGTAAATCCGTGCTTGTTTTTCAGTAAGAATCCTTCAATGCATGGTTTTCTATAGATTAGATACGTACAATGAAATTCAGAAGCAATTTCACACGTTATATGTAAGTTGTAATACCACAGTACTGAGGGATCGATAGCGTTAGAAACTGTTACAGTGTTTCATAGGTAAAATGGGCACGGTGATAACAACAAAGTACTGTAACGAAAAATCCAGCTAGAAATATCCAATGAAGTGTCACCAAGGAGAAAGTCGAGTCGCAATACGGTCCTACCTTTGGGTTGAAGTTGGGTTTGTGACTGTAGATCCACACAGATCCTAAAACATAAAACAACATCAGCCGGTGTTCGCTATACAAAGTGTGAATATTTTGAAAAAAAAATAAAAAAAGTTTAAATTTTGCTATTATGCAATGTGTTCAAAGTGAGGTCGCCACTATTGATATCTTCGTTATTATTGCGGTAACCAAAAACAATCGTGTTAATCAGATAAGTAATCTTATTTTTTTTAAGTATTTCTTGATATATTTTGAAAATAATAGTTATTTACATAATAAGTCATGAAAGTGGTCGTTTACATGACGCGGAGGCTTATTGAAAAGTACGAGGACGCGCAGTATCCGAGTATCTCTTTAATGCCTCCAAGCCAGGTGGACTCACTTTCATCACGTATTATGTATAAAATTTTACCTGAAACTGCAACATGTATATAACTATTCCAAATTAAATTATTCATATGTGTGAAATTTTGATACCTAATCTCGCATGCTAAAATCACTTTATCCAACACCTCTATGTTATCCAGTCATTATCATGACGAAATTAAACGAGTAAGGTATAATATAACCCACTAATGAGTTATGGACGTAAAATAACTCACTAGCAAGATAAAGTACAGGAACCATAAGTAAATCCATATAAATTTTCTGACTAAATTTTTTGTTGTTTATTATTCCCCATAGCAACGAATTATTGCTTTTGTATTCCATGCACTCTAGCTTTTCGCGGAACACGCAGTTTTTAAGATTTCCACGTTTTAAACCAGCTTGAGGAGGTGTTGGATAAAGTTTTGTATGGTGCACGTGTGTTAATTACAAATAAGTCACTTGAGAAAATAACCCCACTCGGCCTGACGGCCTCGTGGGCTTACTTTTTTCTCGCGTGACTTATTTGTAATATAACACACTTATACCATAAATAACTATTATTTAATTGTTTCCATAGAGATTTATACTTTGTACTTTACAACTATACAGTCTTTATAATTAGGTACAAAAGCAGGTATCAGTGAAGAAGATTACCTACGCGAGACGTTGTTATAATGTAGCCGAAGCTGCGGCCGCCCCCGTCTCTCCCCACAAAGTCAAGAAAGAGGTACGAAAAGGCGTACAAACCTTTAAGGGCCGATTCTACAATGAAGGTATATACCTAGAATAAATGTCGACGGTTGCGTTGATTACCATAGTGTCAACCAATGGCATACGTGTCGCTATGGCAGTTATTCCAAGAATATCTTATTCTCCGTAAAAGTGTAATTGTAAAACCGGCCCTTAATGACTGGCGCAAAACTAAAGGAATAATTACTTCCACACATATTCCATTAATTGTTAGTATCCAATCGTTGATTGAATAACTTATTCAATGAACGATCTAATTGTTATTTTGCATGTACTAAGACTGTAATGGGAGTCAGGCAAAAATATTACAGTACTAGTCAGGTAAAGATCAACTTTCTAATGTCAAAATAGCCCTGAAATTTAGATTTTCTTGACGGTTTCAGGTAAATGAAATTTTACATGAATTACTACAGATACGTTTATATATAAGAACCTATGTCTTAGTTATATGCTTATTACTTTAAATCATAGCCAAAATGTACTTAAAAAATAAACAGAGGTTCTTAAACAATTTAATAAACACTCTTCTTGATTTTTGGAGTACAGCCAAATCGTAAATCTATATGTTCGAGTATTTACTCGTTTAATATTACCTTCGACTACTTCTTTTCCATACGCATTATACAACGAAATTCGTATACTCACCTAATATAAGCCAAATAAAATCAAATAAGTGTGCAACATACACCAGCACATCAATTATGCGCCAGTGAAGTTTTCAATTCGTCGTAACAATTTAGATATAATACCAATCACACCTAAAATGACAATTAGCTATTTTTTTTCTTAATGTAAAGGAAATACTAACCAGCTACTAGCATGTATAATGGTATTTTGGGTAGTATTGGACAGACGGGTAGTTCTACTGCACCCATGCCCAACATTATACCATTTAGTGCAAGAAATAGTGCTAGCCAAACGACACATATCGCTAGAAACAAAAACAAGTTAAAAAGTAATCGTAAACGATTTACATAAAGCGCATTTCCACTTGCATTCATTTCCCATTTGTAAGATGCAACTTCTATTAAAATCGTAAAAATCCGGCCACAAATATGAAAGATAGCGTTGCACATGGGCAATCCATTTTTGACGTGCTACTTCAATTTCAGTTTATGAGAAGAATTTCATTTCAATGCTTTTCTAAATAAGAAAGTTGGAACTGCGCATGCGCAAACCTAAATTTTAAAACTAATGTTAGATTTTCCTTTGTTCCGAGCGCCTAAGTATCAAATTTCACTTAAATAGTTCCATAGATAAAAAAGTTGGCACTGCGCATGCGCAAAATAAAATTTTGAAACTGGCGCTAGATTTTCCTGTATTCCAAGTGCCTATGTATCACATTTCATTTAAATTCTTCCATAAATAAAAAAGTTGGCACTGCGCATGCGCAAAGCCAAATTTTGAAATTGGCGTTTGATTTTCCTTTATCCCAAGTGCCTATGTATCAAATTTCGTTTAAATTCTTCCATAAATAAAAAAGTTCGCACTGCGCATGCGCAAAACCAAATTTTGAAACTGGCGTTAGATTTTCCTTTATTTCAAGTGCCTATGTATCAAATTTCATTCAAATACTTTTATAAGTAAAAAAGTTTGCAATTCGGTTTATAAATGGTCGAGATGCGAAAAGGGCACTGTGAATTTTGAATCGATTTGATTCAACTTTTGGCATTGCGTATTATATGGCTAAAGCTATGCCCATATTGAATTTCATGCAATTCAGTTCATAACTAACGGAGATGTAAAAGCGATCGAACATTTCTAAACAAAAGTTATCGTTCACACGGACAGATAGATGGACAGACAGACAAAGGAACAGACGGAGAGACCAACCGGCAGGCGACAGATAGCAATGCAAAATTATAAACGATCTCTAGGATCGTTAATACACGGCAAAAGTGTAAAATTATGGAACATGTAAAAAACGGTTTTTTGTTTTTTTTACAATAACTTTTTTTGTAAACGGTACAGAAAAAATTCCTTCCTTGGTACAAGACTCGACACCATAACGAACCAAATAGCGAAAAAAGTAGAACAATAGNTGTAAGCGGTACAGAAAAAATTCCTTCCTTGGTACAAGACTCGACACCATAACGAACCAAACAGCGAAAAAAGTAGAACAATAGATAAAGAACTAGTAGCGTCGCAAAACGAGCGGACGGACGGACGGACGGACAAAGTGGCCACAATAGTACATTATTTTTTATTTTTGTGGAAATGCGCTAAAAATATTATCGAATCAATATACCCTTATAAAATTGTCTATTTGATAGACCGGTCGATTTGAGGGTCAACCATATGCTGATGAATATCCAGCTTGATCGCTTGACTTGAATGTTGTCCTACAAGAGGGAAATTATTATTAAAAAATTTTGCATCACCAACAGTATCTATCAAATGTAACTTTTTACTTTTGTAAAATACCCTAGGCCTTGAATAAATAAATACAATGAGATAATAAATCTACCAATCGTCCTTCCTTTCATCTGCATGTTTGCACGATCGTTCTTCTCATTCAAACTTTGTACAATGATTTCAGGAAAAATTATTTTTAAAAAACGTCTTCTTTGGGCCCCTTTATCATCTTCTTGTTAGCGCATTTCGTAAATATTAAAAAAAGTCAACACACGTTCTGCCTTCAAGGTATTCTAATTAAAGGTTTCAGGGAAAGTACGAGTTTTCTACCAATTGCTGCCCTTTTCCCTTAGCCTTTATCGAAATTGGTGAGTTGGGGGAGGGGGGGGGGTCTATTCTTCATAGTACACACTGCGGATTCCTTCTGGCCAAAATGGTTTTGTGAATATTGTTGAGCATTCTCGAGAAATTACTTCATCGTAATTCGACATTTTTGCCTTATTTGACCCGTTTGCTCCTACGAGCCCTCCCGCAGAGGATGAACCACCTCCGGACTGCGCCGTTGAAAGTTCGACCCTCAACCCCGAGCCGTGACTCGGGGATTCTTTTCCGAGTTTAACGGTTTTTTTTTATCTTCTCAGAACTTTTTTCTCCTGTAGCCCGGGTCGGGGTGACGCGGGGGGGGGGGAGGGGATATTTTGTGAGGGTAGCGGCACATCGAAAAAGTCGCGCCGCCGGAATTCGAGGCGCGTGTAAAAATTCGGCGCCGAAGAAAAGTTATTGACGAAAACGTCGAATTTTATTGTAATTATAGAAAGACAGTTTACTCTTTACTAATCTTTACAATTCAGCAAAAAAAAACACTGTATATTAATTGATTTGGCTAATTTTTTCAATATCTTAGTGTGAGACTAAACAGAAGCGATTCTCAAAATATGAAGATCCAACTCTAAAAAAAAACACACTGTATATACCTATATTATCTAAGACAACAACTGGAACCATTGAAATAAAAGACTAACTGGAACTGATTTTGTAAAAACTTGATCAAAATGTATGGAAGTTAACGACTCAACCACATATATACGTTTATCTGTGACTCAACTTTAACATATAGATAACGTAGTATTTTATATCAACCTATCCTTATAAATTAAATAAATTAATTATTAAATTAAAGTAAATGATTTGGTTATAACAAACGCTCAACAAACATTAGGTACTTACGGTGATTTGATGCCTCCTTCAATTGTAAAAAATGCTCTTTACCATTTCCATTATGCACACTGGCTATACTTTATATCTACATCTACTGCTACTTATTCCGCGTCTAAAAAGGTATACGGTACCATTGATTACATACACTAACTATATAATCAATGACGGTACTCTGCATTGCAACACTTAACAGTCAGTCGGATGGTAAAACTCTTATAATGAGGAAACGCGTCACTTCTTTTTTCGTAATTGATGTATGAGTGTATCAGTGTACAGTGATTAGGCAGTTTAATTATTCGGAATTGTGGGCGATTATAAACTCGAAAATTTTATGCGGAAAAAACCATCGTCGATATTTTCATTGCGATCGAGAAGGACAGTGGTTTATTGTGGATTATAGTTAGATTAACAAAAATAAAGGTACAACATTTTTATCTACGCAAGGGCAATATGAAGAAAACAGTGTCGATCATAAAATTGTTTTCCCAGAATGATAAATTGGTACACGATATTGGCAGTATCCAGTATGGGTCATAAATAAATGATAAGGTAGCCATACCATTTCCTCATGACTCAAAATAGGACAACATAAAACAAATCTAATTTGTGTACAACTCTTGTGCAGAAAAGCGCATTTTTTTAAAACCGAAATAGCATAGTAAATGGTTGAGTTGTAAGGTGGGTCTTTAGATATAAACACAAGGATAAATGCGCTAAAAATATAAATAAATTACCATCAGGTACACATTTCAACGATTGTTTCAGATGCGTTAACGAGACGTTTGAATAACGTTATCTCAGTAGGGATTTGCAATTAGACAAATAGCAACATAACTGATTGGGATTTGACCAATTGTAATTGCAGTGTTAGCCAAATGACGCTGGAATTTAAAATGACCCATAAAATATGTTTGAACTTCCACGTGCATTTTTACATTTTATTATACACCATGGCATACAGTTATTCTTTCATGGATTTCATTTTTTAGGAACCTGATACGTCGATTAAAAGAAAATTTAATTTGTAAATGATCACTATGGACGGTAAATGGTTATTATTCCAAAACGTAATGACTTTGTCAATTTCACATTGAATTCTACCTTTTGTTATTTAGATATAATAAATTAGCCGAGTCGATCCGGTCTATCGACCCCAATACGATTACTCTAAATACTACAAATTATGAAGGTTTGAGGCAAGACATCAACAGATCGTTGGAATTCGTCGATGTCAGCGAAATGAGGAAAGCCCTCTTCATAAAGAAGAACCGCGAGATATGTAGTATCCCTCCAACTAGCGACGCCTTCAATCACCACATTCTTCGAGCTGGTTACAGGTGTCGCATTTTTATTAGTTGACAGTTTTTCTCGTCTAATTGCTAGGCAACAGATTTTCATTACCTAAACAACCCAAATTTACTCGGTAAAATACAAACCTCTTGTGCAATTATAAGTGAAAAATCGTTTGGGAAGTGGTACTTTTTTTTCACGATTTTTACTATGCGTTTCCATGGAGTTTAGTCCTGTGTTGAAAGTGTCTTTTTTCCATGAATTTGCTTGATTAACTCGGGATTCGCCTTCATTAATCAAATTGCAAATTCATGAAAAAAAGTATCACTTTCAAAACTAGTTGTACAAATAACTATTGTAGATAATTTTCTGATCTACAATTTTTGTCTAAACTATATGTTTGATAACACTTACAGTTGTCGAGACAAAATCGAATAGACGCATTGACATCGACACAACTACCCACCCTAGTCACTGACTCAGGAGGTACGATCCCAACGGACACTTAGACGAATAATGAATTCCCGCACTATTCTTCCCCACTACAGGGGAAATATTTGTTGGGGATTTTTTTTCGGTACTACAGGAACAAGGATTGGATGATAACTTCTAACGGGTATATATGTACCTATTTTGTGATGTAGATTTATTGGGCATTACTGTTTCTGTTGACAATGGCTAGTACATAAAACCTAGTATGGTAACACTCAGACTTGCCGAAGTAGGTTTAGGGAGTTACTTTTCATTCTTTACTTATTCTTTTTTGTTTTTGATAGTGTAACTTTAGATGATCGCCTAGTCTTATAAATGACATAACAAATCAAAATAGGTGTCGTAACTAAGAAGGCGAAAAAAACAACCACGTCCAACAATAGATATTGGTACCACCTTAAATTTAATGCAGCTGTTTTGAGGTGATGAGCGCCGTTATGTCTTAAGACATACTCTATCCAAAAAATTGCTTTATCCAGTGGCTTCTGGGGATTATCTCGTAATATTTTGGATCTTGCACGTGCGTTATTTAAATACCTAAAACGTAACATTTTGAATATCTTTAGCATATATCTTTCACATGTACTTTGGATTTTGTAGTACTGTATTGATGGCATTTAACAGTTTTTCACCAGTTATACCTGGGAGGTCTACAATAATACCATGATTATTATCTTCAACTGTACGCATATTTAAATGTTGATCGCCGTAGATCGGAATACCCACAACGGGAACTCCATGATAAATGGCTTCTAGGGTACTTAGTAATCCGCCATGTGTCATAAACAGTTTGATGTTAGGATGAGCTAATTTTTTACGATAATCACACTGCGAATCTTAAATCCAACTTACCCAGCACATCGTTTTGTGGTACCCACTTTAATATCTTAACATTTGGTGGCCGACCGACCAAAGACTCGTTTTCCCACTTCCATAGCACTTTTAGATTTACCGCTGTGAATGCCTTCAAAATAGCTTCTCTGCGATTATCGGTTAGATCTTTACTACGGAGATGAGAACCCATACTGAAAAAAAGTACACCTTCTTTGGCATTATCTAAGTATTCCTGCAAGTCCTGTGGAAGGGCTTTGGCTGGTTTAATATGGTAACCACCTATATCAATCATGTTGGGTAAAAGGGGAATGGGCGTACTTGAACTAATATGAGAATTAAATAGCGTTAAGGATACATTATAAAAAATATCTGTGAGATGAGGAACGGTGGGAAAATATTTGTGCATCATTTCATTTTGGGTAGGAAGTGTCTGAGTGTGAAATACAACTGTACTGATCACATGTACTATTCCGTTGTATAATCTTTCAAAAAAATTCATTTTACTTGAAAAACTGGTATGTATTTCTGGTAGATATGAAGGTGGTATAAAGATTCCCATTTGGGTATTTGAAGTATGAGTGGGAGGTATGGATGAAGAAATAACGCAATGGGCTTCGAAGTGAACGCAAAAACCATGAAATGCGTCATTCATTAACCGCTCAAGGATGACAAGATCAAATTTCTCATTCGATGTAATTAATTTCTGAACGTTCGTGTGGTTTAAGGTATTCTTAACAAGCGTAGTCATATCTTCGATAGATTTAAACATACATGTAATGGCGTTATCATCAGCTAACGCAAACATATTAAAATTTTTCTCTAAAATTAGATTACACAGTCCCATGATAGTTTTTGAGATACCTACCTTTTAAAACATCCATAACATTGTCTAAGTAAATTGTTCGTAGGTTTTTGACTTTCTGTTTCTCTTCCACTGGTGATATTACTGTAACATCATGACCTCTTGACGCCAATTCTTTTAACAGTACCTCGCCTAGTTGATAATGGCTGTATGATGGTAAATGAAAAATTCCAAGAATTTTCGCGGCATTTGATACACAAATTATTTCAAATGTAAGGTGCACTATTTTCAAAAGGTGCATTTTCGTAAAGTGTAAAGCTCAAACTATGTGATCTGAGTGTATTTCCGCATGTTCTAGATTAACACCTAATCACTACGATAACGATAACTCTATTGTAAAAGTCAACAGACAACTACGAGGGTTATTTTTGTTTCAAGCTTCGTTTAGCTGCATAAAAGGACATATACAGGGTGAGTTTTTTCCGATGTATATTATAGGGATCTCGTAAACCATAAGGGATAGAAAGTCGCTCAAATGGGCAAAGAATTGCAGAATTTTATGTAGATTAAGTTTCCCTTTCAGAGTTTCTTGTAGCTCTACAAATAACGAAGTTATCGTAAAAAACCGAATTTCATTTTCGAAAATGCGCTGGCGTTCATTTATTTCCAAAGACCAAAGATATCAAAAAATCTAATATAAGAAAACAGTCACACCTGTTATCCCCTGCAACACCTTATCCACGATACGTTGAAAAATGGAACACGCTGGGTTTGTTCCGAAAGGTAATCTTTCTACTTTAAATATGCCTTTATGCATACTCCACGCTAAAAAGAGTTTGGACGCTTCTTCTAACTCTAATTGGTGCTTGACAAAATCTAATTTCGAAAATCTCCCTCCATCTTGCAAAGCGACAAAGAAATTTTCAAATAAAGGCAGAGGTTATTTATCATTTTTCAAATAACTATTCACATAACCGTATTGTGCCATCTTTTTTGAATGTTGGTAGCCCACAAAGAATCCGAAACTGGCGTAAATACATCCTCTCGTTCTAATCTGACTAACTATGGCTCAATTAGTTCTCTATAGGCTATTCGTATACAGGGTGTTACATGACCGCATGTAAAAAAAATCGGACGATAGATGGGATCAAGACAAACACTTTTTCCAAATAAACAGAGAGCCCTACGTGTGGAAGCCACCCCCAAAGAAGTGGTGAAATTTGGATTTCTTCATTTTTCTCTCAGCAACCATAAGAGTTACAAAGATGGGTCTTTGAATAGGTTTTCGCGTATGCCCTATCCGATTTTGAACAATTCTGATTTCGACGAAATTTGGTATCTGGGGGTTTTTGAACATGAAAATGACGAATCTGAAATTAGTTTTTGAAAATTCGAAAAAAAAGTGAGTTGAGAAGACACCCAGGTTCGTTAAACTTGTTCAGAATGGCATCACTTTTTTGGGTTGCGAGGTCAACGATTCTCTCACACAACGATCCCAAAATTAAGTACATAAATAATAATATTCACCTTGACAGTTTGGCAAAGGTTTTACGCCATATATAAATATCCGAGCTTACAATCCGTAAGTTTGCACAGAAGGTTCGGCTAAGAAATCAATACGTTCTCCCACCACATTTTCACTTAAGTATGTACCTCGTCGACAAAACTTCTGAAACGGATCCATCTCAAAACCGGCATTCACTCGGTTTTTGATACACCGGCAAGCATAGCTCAAGCTCTCTCGCGACGGTTTCTAGAGCCGGCCACACTGTAGCGTTTCCACTGTCTTATCTGCTCTTATCTTAAAGCACTTTATTTCTGGAATATTAGTTCTGTTCTTTTTTATTATGCGGTATTAAGCGGTACACGTATGAAATTTCCTGTACCAGTAAATTTAACAGAAAAGATCTTTTTAAAACCTAAAGCAACCACTTATTACACCATGGAGCCTGTCTCCCTGTCAATACAGCTTTGGAGGAGGCCGGAAGCTGCATAGTCCTATACTTCTATCACGTCTTAGAAAAGATATTCCGGGTTTTCTGGGACGAATAATGTATTATTGTTATTCAACTAATTACTATACTTTTTTATACCACCTTTTTGTTTTATAATTTGTTGTTAAAAGCATAGATGAATGTATCCAGATATAATGAATTACCTGGTTACCTAAGTTTTTCTACCTTCCAAAAACTTTATTCTCTCGATAAACTCCATGGATACCATTATACGTCAAGGTATTTATTTGGCGAAGAAATTTATCAGTAGATGAAAAAGCTGGCTTATCGCCAAGATAAGGATGGGGATCTCGGAAACAACACAAGGTACGACGATAGTGAAATTAGGGAAAAATTGTGCAATTACAGTGCTGTAAAGAAAATATGAGGGTATGCCAGAAAAACTGTAATTTACCGATTTTGTTTTTACTTTTTTCTGATGTTATTTGAACAGATTTTTGATGTTGATGATTATGTTAAATATAGCTATATTTGTAAATTTGTCTGGTTTACGTTTTTAGTACGCCGCCAACGAGGTTAGGTAAATGTAAGAGCAGCTAATAAGCATTACTTGGAAGCTGAACTTCGCCTCAAATTTTTATAAGCATCTTTTCTTTTTTGGAGTCAGTAAATAAACTTAAAGTTAAAGTTAAAGATACAAAAACATAAAAATCACTTTCTCATTGCCACTTTTTGAGCTATACAAGACCGCGTTGAGAGATTTTTAATTCTTCGTTTCGATTCGGTCGTTTCCGAGAAATCCGAGAAATCATCATCAATTTTATTTTTTATACGACCCGTAACGTGCATATTTGGGTAGCATTTTTTTGTTAAGAATAAGATGGAAACTGTTGGTTTCAACCGAATGGTGCACCCGCGCACAACATCTTAACAGGGTCAGAATACCTATCGGATACATCTGTCATATTAATTTTCACATATCTAAATGACCACATATCAACGAAATGTCGAGGTATGAAGCATAGATACCTATCTCAGTAAACCGGTTGCAAAAATCTCGCAAGAAACGCTCACATCAAGGAATTTTCGATTTTGAACAAATAATTCAAATATTGAGATATGAAAAGAATCTGATCTCTACACAACCAGTCACAAGAAGAAAAAATCTGAAATTAACTTTTGAAAATTCCAAAAGCAGTTTTTTGAATTTTTCAAAATCATAAAAGGCACTGACAAAAATCTTAGCAAATCTGTTAATTTCATCTTCCTATGGCAAACAAATTAAAGTTAAAAACGCGAAGTAGCTTCAAAACATTTTGTATGTTTTTTAATTTATCAATAGATTATTTTTATAGAAGCAAAGTGGACCAATTTCAGTAACATTTTAACAGTAAAGTTTTTAAAAAAATAGATTCAATTAGATTGCGAATGTAAAGATCCAAGTTACACTTACAGGTAAGTAGTCACAGTTGGTCCATCGATTACGTACTTTACCTACTCAAATTTCAGTTTCCAACGCTTAACGCGTAGATGTACCTATGCAATGGTTGCAGGGTCCATGCTGAACTTTTTTGGGAAAACTATTTTTTTAGTTAGAAAAAAAGATAGGTTAGGATGAAGTATAGAAGCTTATAGAAGACGCATTTGAGTAAGGAGAGTACCTACCTTGAAAGTAGAACGTGAGATTTTTAGGTCTCCTTTGAGTCACATAAACATTTAGGCAATAATGTGTAATCCCCATTACAGTGCGTTTATAAAAACCGCCTTGGAAGGTGTAACAGGTTTAAACTCACCTGCCACATTATGACACACAACTTTACAAATATATACTAATGATTAGTTGACCACTACAAAATGCCGGTCATTATGAATTTTGGTGCATTATGTACATATGCTCTGTGCAAATAACATATGGCTGTAACACAATGAAGTAAAAGCATTTGCCATAAAGCACGCATTTTGACAGCAAAGTTTTTAGCTTTTAACTATTTGCTGATGATTTTTGAGGGTTCTCTGCGACCGCAGGCAGCAATTGTGTTGATTTTTCTCCATTATATCGTTGAGTGAAAAACGATTATATATAATTCTCAGGTAGGTATAGGTATTTTATATTGGAAATAAAACTACAAAAAAATATTCAGTTAAAACTAAATTAACAAAATTAACTCTAGTTTCGTGGTTAATAGCCGAACAAGAAATATGTATATAAAAAGATTTGCTCCCTAAAGCTTATATAGAAAAATATATAAATACATACGTAACAAACAACAAACGTTATAACAAATAGAAAAAAAGCTTATTTCGATTGACAAAATGAGCGCAGAAAGCTGTCAATCACTGGACTTTTATTGTAATTATTTATGCAAATGCTCTTGAGATATTTGATTGGAATTAATGCTGGATATGTTTGTACTATACGGATAAATTGGCGTTACTGCTGTTCGTTCAGTAATTGGTTTATTTGCACAGTGAACAGCAACAGGTGATTAGCGCCGCTATAATGGAAAGGCCGATAAATATCCATCGAATGGTTAACGTCCAGAACGCTAAGAGGTAAGCCGTTTTATTGCAGTAATTGTTGAAGATTTCAATATAATTTGGTTCGTATATTCTATAAACCCAGACGGAACCTACAATAAAAATCAGTTTAGTTTACAGACCTTGCATATAAGAAATTAATCAGCATTAAAGACTTGTATAGGTAGTACGTATAAAGCAATCGAAGAAGGGACCCTTTCAACCTTTGTTTAGGTATTGAATTATTTTTCTCTTACCTACAATCATCCAAACAAACGAGAAGATGTAGAGTATAGTAATTATGATCGATAAAATGGCCAAATCCAACTTTCGATTGATGAAAGGCAATATCATTGCGATGATACCGACAGCTCCTAAAACGCAAGGTTTTTCAACACATCAAATTAAGTTATTATTTATGTTCAACCCTGCCACAATAAGGTATATTGGTATCCTGTTATCAATTGGACATTTGTCTTTGTTGATTATTCCAAACACCAACATGACGACATCGAGGACGAGGAACACAATTAAAGCTCCGCTCACAGTAGCTGAAAAACATCAATCCATGTTAATTTAGGCACTACAGTAAATTATAGAAAAAAGGTTGCGGTAACGGTTAACTGCCGCTGTTACAAACATTTCTCACACCAGAAATTTTGACAAATGATTGGAAAATAGTTGCCGCTACGAAAATTTTACTTTCCTTGTAAAGGGCGGTAATAGATAATAAACTATATTAGGTAATGGTGATTTCATCTTAATAAATAAAATAATGATATAAGAAATAACTGTAAGTATTAATAATGCTTCTTAAAATATCCATGGCGAAGTTAAAAGATCACTATCAAAATTAGAATCACGAAATTCATGAAGATTGATGCTATTTTGGCGATATTATTATTTAATCTCAGCACCCCCGTTTCCATTCCATCTCTAACATTTGTTGCCTTAAATAGACAAAATCGATTAATGGAACCACAGATGAAAATTTTGTTTGCTGTATAAAATACTGCACCATTTTAAACTAATTCCTATCTTCCCAATTTCGGAATCGCCACAAGAAAATTAATACAAACGACCTTGTCTATTCACGAACTCTGGGCGTTTATTAAATCAAACTTGATTTGAATATGTAATTAAGTACATTTCTGACTGCTTGTTCTCCTTGACATGCGATCTTTTAATTTTCTCTCATTTCTGTTTTACTTTGTGAAACTAAAGGGCTTGCATTTTAAATTGAACGATATCGAAAAAACGGCTAAATGTTTCTTTTTAATCAATATTTTTGGTGTTCACCTCGATTAAATGGTCATAAACACTTAGTTTGAGGTATTTTTATATTCGGGTGAAAACTAACAGCGTCCAAACTGACGCATAGGTATTATAAATAAATTTTCGAAAGAGTGTATATTATTTGAAAAAATTAAAATGTACCTATTGTTTAAAATCTCGTTTTAAATCATTGCTAAAAATAAAATGTTGAATGAGTTATGTTATTATAATGAAGACGCATTCCAAAATGTTGCTATCACTTCCTACAACTTATTTTTGAACACCTAAAATTCGTATCATAGATCATATTTAAAGTTATGATTTCGATCGATGTGGTGCAATAAAAAATGAAACTAAAATTATTCCTTTCATTGAGTTTATAGAATATCGCATAAAATAAAAAAATACTATTTGGAATCCAAATATAAACCCCTACGATCATAGTGCATTTACCTACATTTTGAAGTATTTCTGATAGTGATGAAACAAACATTAATGCTAGATCTGATTAGAAGTGAAACGAAATTTTAATCGTGTCATTTATGATTTTCAAGAGGGTGGGACCAAGAGGATCTGATCTAACTTGAAAATAAGTTTAAAGTGGGTCTCTTTAGATTAGAAATATGATAGTTTGAGGGATGTAAATTTTCGCGAAAAAATGAGGAAAGCAATAATCTGCTAAGGTCTTCTGTCCTTGGTATTATTACTATCCTACACAAATTGCAAGACATTAACTAACGCCCATGCCGTTCCTGTAACTAAATGAGAAGGTCATAGTTGAACTAAAATGCTTTTGGGCATATAATCTCGGCTCTAATGTTATCATAAATTGAAAAATGCAGAAAAATATTGGTTGACAGGCGCTTCTTCGCCATTGATTTATTAAAAAATATTGTTAAAGGCTAAATACTCACGATGGTTAGCTTTCTCCTTAATTCGATCGGTAAAAGAACCGAAAGAAAGATCGTTCTTTCCACGTCCCCTTTCTACGTCCATGCCAACTTTTTACTGGAAAACTTTCTCAAAAACCAAACTACGTTGATTCACAAACGCAAGTTGCGTGTCTACTGAACAGATGATACTGGCGATTTCAGAATGTTACTGTTGAGACGTATTACAAGACGACTGTTGGGTGTGTGCAATTATTACGTGGTTCCTATTTGGGTCATTGTGTCGGTTCATCACTATTTTTATTACACACAAAACAGAGTAATACAGAACCTTGAAATTCTAATTTACGGAAGCGGTCACCGTTAAATCTTTGTAGACCTTGAGACAATTACATTGTAATTCATTTAGTGGGGCCTAAGAATATGCAATAAACGTTAATTCCAAATTCTGACTAATTTATTGTATTGAGATTGCGAAGATAGCACCCAATTTCTGAGCTCATTTTATATAATACTAACGAATTGAACAGTAATCGATGCATATTTAAGACCTAATAGCACTCTAACGTATTCATAGTGACCATTGTAACCCTACAAGCAATTGTTGTAAATTGAGTACAGTAATGTATTTCAATGCGATAAAAGCAAGGGTTGAAGTACGACAACGTCTCTTTGTTTCGCGAACTTACGGAATGATAAAGGGCTCGCAAAATAATGAAATCTTAAAATTTCACCCAAAAAATCTGTTGATAAAAAAGATTAATTAAACATCGTTAATTGAACCGTCGCGTCGGGAGAAAGAAAGGGGGCACATCCACCATTCCAAATTAGATTCGAACAAGTGAAGCTAATAGTTTGCGTTAAAGACGAGTTTGTACATAAGTTACTTTCATGATTGTTTGAACAGTTGGTTAATAAACAATTCAGATTTAATCTGAAAGTTGTCACCTTTAAATTTAGAATTAATTTCTATAAACAAATTATTTTGAAGTTAATCACAATATCAATGACAATATAGGGAGCTTTTTGAGACGTTACCTGAAAATTGTTCAAACAAATGGAACCATCGCATAACTCGAAAAACTTGTGTTTGCAAATTAAGGTTAATTTGTAGACGCAAGCATTTTTTCGTAAACAATTTTTTTCTGTTGAATTTTCATTTATTTTGCAATGTGCAACTTTTGGGCGTTCTAATAAAACCCACCAACACAAACAGTCATGCTTTATTTGGAATTCGACCGAGTTTTGTATGCACAGCCACTGCTAGTTACAACTATTTGAGCACGGTCGTTTGAAGTCATTAATCATAAATTTAAAGAAACTGAAATTGTGCCTTTTATTTTTTGAGAGATGTGAAGAGAGTTGAGACTGAAGGTTTTTCAGCTCTGAAGGAAAAATGCCAATTATGAGGCGTTTGCGCTAGCTTTCTCTCTTTTATGTATCTAAAATCGTTGAATTGCGCCAGGTGGACTAATTAACTAAATTGTTTTTTTTTGCGAAGGCATTGCCACATTTTTTTAAATACTTGTGTTTCCGTAAAGCGAAGAACGATGAGTATATTGGTAACGTAACACATTACAATGAATTAGGGGGTTGTATAAAAAATAAACCAGTGAATTGGGGGGTGGGGGGGGGTACCTATTGAGACTACATGGTAAAGTACCTTTTCGTACTTCCGAGACTAAAATGACAACTTCACTCCATTATGACAAGGACTGAAGTGTCACTTTTTGTCCCGCCGGGATTAAATTTGGACGAAAATCCCGGAAGGATGAAATTACTAACAAGGCAATTTCCGTAGGTTGTTTCACATTTTGTATGCGGCACTACTTCTTAAAGCCGCTTTACATTAGGCAATTTTCGTGCAATGCAAGAGCAATGCAAGTTAGAAATACGTTACTGCGCATGTTCATACGCAATTCAGGTGCAAGAAAAATAAATAGAGAAAGTTCTATTTCACTTGCAAGTTTGGCGCAAGTTCTAGTAACTTTTCTAGTACTTTTGTCAATACCACAATTTATTTGGTTTCGCGTGTGTCTTTTTTTTTAATAGCAAGCGCCACCACATAACAAGCTGTAGCCAGCTTAATTTCCTTTTGTTTGCTCATACCTAATGGTCAATTTTATTAAGTTTCAAGAAGAATTGCAACACAATTGCATAAATGTAAAACCGTAATAAGCAATGCAAGGCAATTTTAGATTGCATAGCACAAGCCTTGCATTGCACTAAAATTGCCTAATGTAAAGCGGCTTTTAAACGCATCGTACTGCTGCTCATATAGTGTTTTGAATTTTGGTGGTATCAATTCTTTACCTACTTTGGCTGCTTTTGATCAATATCAAATACACCTTTGTCACCCACCACCAAAATTATGACACTAGCAATGACAGTTTCCAAATTATTTTTGTTACCATAGCATAGGGATTGTCGTTCCAACGCAACGTTCCTATGGTAACTGGTTAATCAGCGATTTTTTTAAAGAACGCGTTCTCTAACTCCATACATATTAAGTGTTTCAGTTTCGGAAGTACGAAAAATATCGTATATACCTTGCGACTGAAGTAGTGGTCTTAATCCCTCAGGTAAATTATGGCCCTCCCTTCGGTCGCGCCATAAACTTTACCTTCGGGATTAAAAGTACCACTTCAGTCCCCCGGTATATAATATACTATTTCATCCTAATGAAAAAGCCCATAGAATAAAAATTGGAGAGAATTCATTTCTAAACTCAAAAAGTACCTCAATTTTGAAATTCGATCATAAGAACAGTAGGAATGTAAAATTTTCATTTTATCCATTCTCAACTTAATGTATCGCATGCAGGAGCGAACGGGAACATTCCGTGTCTGCCGAGTTCTCAACAGTTTAGTTCGTCAGTTGAGGTTGAGCAGTACCGGCCGTTTTAAATGTATTTGCAAACGCAGATACGTGCGAGAATGTAAAAGAGTGAAGAAAAAAGGTTTGAAAATCCTGGTTGATTGTATCCAACACCGAAAACAGACAGAACACATTCGGTTTTTAGAAGAAGGGACTATTCACAAATGTGGGAAGGTGGTATAAAGAAGCAGGTGCTTTAGAAAAACAGCAACGAGAACAATTGTCTCGTTCTAGAGCAACTTTCGAGAGCAGTGTTTTTGTATGGCGAGAAGGAGAGTTTTTTGATCTTAGGTACTCGTATGGAAGATGAGTGGGGCCAAAGATAGTAGACGCATGGTATCGTAGCGCCTACTGTAAACGGCTTTGGAGAAAGACGTGGTACTCAGCTCAAATGAGGCAGGTCGTCGACTCATACCTTGAAGATAACCCAATTTTCTCTACCCGAATGACTGAATCACGTAGATGAGGAGGATCGCCCGAAAGATGTTAAAACAACCAAGTCGAGGCTACCATAAAAATATTGTGACGATGTCTTGATTGTTGAGTGTGATCCAAAATTCGTTCAAACTCCTTCTAGGATGACAAATACCCAAAAGTAACGTCCGAATCGTAAAAGCAGCTGGGAAAATCGTTCTGTTGCCTACAAAAAATAACAATATGTTCCTCCTAAACATCCAACATCCAAGCACTAATACTACCCACATTGCTGACATTTCTCACGATTGTAGTGATGAAGTATAAGAAGAGAGATCTTGAAGAGTGGAGGAAGAATGTGACGGCTATATCGCATGCAATAAGGCTCTCTTCGTTCCCCTCCTCCATCTAGATTGGTTTCGGGGCAACAGCGACTTAGTCGAGCTGAACCAATGGTTTGACCAACACCATCCAACCAAAATTACACAATAATGTCAATCAGCAGTGGAGTTGTTGGTGGAGAGAAAACAAAAGAACACGGACAAGCACAAGCATAAAAGAACGATAGACTCTGTATAACTAAAATATACTTGGTGAGACCTTTCACAGTCTGAAGTTGAAAAGGAAAAACGAAGTAACTACACTTGCTACTGTGACATATGCGATAAATAAAGGGTTTTCCAATCAGAGGTGTTATTTTGAATAGTCCGCTATTTAGGTAGATATCAGTTTTGAAGCTGTCATTTTTTGACATTAGACAAGTAGAAACTACGCCATTACTAAAAATAGAACTATACACGCTTCAACACAAACACAAACAACAAAACCATTGATTTTTTACGGGAAAAGTTTCCGAGCCGTGTCATCTCGAAGAGGTGATCACAATTGGCCACCGAGATCTTGTGATATGACACCTTGCGACTTCTTCCTTTGGGGCCACGTGAAAGACAAGGTCTACGCCAACAGCCCAGCATCGATTCAAGAATTATTCCAAGTAGCATAATATCGACTTAAATCGTTATTTTTTTTGTGTTTGCGACATTTTCAATTACCTACATGCGAAATTAGATCACTCACTAGTAGGCAGGGGACATTTTGTGACCCGAAGGCTCAATATTCAAATGAGTGTAACTTTTGTTTGAAAAGTGATTTTGACAAACTGTTCGACAATTTTGTTCCTTAACTCATCAAGTACACAGCAAATTTCGTGGAATTCTCTCCATTTTCGTTGTACGGCTAAGAATTGCAGTGGATTTTTTTCGAATTTTCAAGAACTAATTCCAGATTCGACATTTTCATTTTCAAAAACCCCCAGATACCAAATTTCGTCAAAATCAGAATTTTCTTTCGCGCCTCCATTTAAGGGTTCGCCCTTTCGTGGTAGGAATTTTGAAAATTTTTTTTGCGAAATCGGAAAGCATAATATACGCAGTCTTTCGGTTGATTTGGAAAAAGTGCTTGTTTTGATTCCCTTTACCTCCCATTTTTTTTACATACTTATATGTAACACCCTTTATGCTCGTATTAGGTTTACCCCTTGCATTACCCTTTACATATTGGTTCAAAATAAAACATTTATACAGCACTGATTCATTTTAGTAAATACTCCTGTGCTCAAATTCCATGCTTAAATCGTTTGAGGTATAACATGCCCCCCTCTCCCTCACCCTCCAAAATGGTTAATAGTGCTACATGAGGGCGTACATAAAGTATGCAAAAGGTAAAAACGACTTTGTCAGTTTCCAATAGACGATTTTGACCTTATTTTCTAGTCGAAATATATAACGTTCTGGTGTCCGTGAGATGCAAAATTTAATCTTCTACAATTTAATACTAAATATTTTCATAGAGATAGACCGTTTTTGAGTTATTATAGGTAAAAAACTGAAACAACTGCCAACATATCGATATTTTTCGGTCATTTTCGGGATTTTAGAGTTGGCACACTTTGATTCATCATGTCTTTATC